GCAGTATGCCCATCTTTCCAGTATTAAAACCAAAAGGCAATTTAGAGTCTTCCTAGGGATGGTTGGATTTTGCAGGATTTAGAATCTCCTAAAGCCTCTGTCAATCTAAGTCCTTATGAAATGCTCTATGGTAGGTCATTTCTAACTTCTGATCTAGTCACTGACCCTAAGACACAAGAAACGATGAAAGAATCATCAATCTTGGTCAGGTACAGAAGGCTTTACTGCAATGTGCCAACAGTCCTTCCAGCACCAGGATCTGAAACTCATGTTCCTACAATTCAACCTGGGGATCATGTGTCACTTAGGAGTTTAGAAGACAAGTCACCTTTAGATCAGTTCCTCCCTAAATGGAAAGGCCACTACCAAGTTCTTTTATTTTTTTAGCACCAGGGATTGAAATCGGGACCTTGTGCTAGCAAGGCAGGCGGCGGAACCACTGAGCTAAATCCCTGGCCCCACTACCTAGTTCTTGTAAGCAAACCCACAGCTATCAAATTACAAGGACATACTTAGGTTTACCTATTGAACATTAAACTTGTTCCTTTTGAGACTCCACGGGATTAAGAAGACAGAGACTTGGTATCAATGCTACTTTGAGTCCTAGGAAGATGTACAAATTCATTTCTGGAAGAACAGGGAGGCTGATTGTGAATAAATTAATTTGGCCTGTATGTATTCTCACAACTACACTATATCTGTTGAAATCAAGGTTCAGGCTGAGATAAAAAATAATTTATTTTTAATCTATTGAGTATGTTAGAAAGTACATATGCTTCTTTTTTTTCTCCTTTTTTTTTCTTTTTCTTCCCCTGGCGCTGGGGACTAAACCCAGCACATTGTTCTGGCTAGGCAGGTGCAGCACTACTGAGCTAAATCTCAGGCTTTACATTTCATATTTTTAAAATTTATCAACACATTAATCCTTGTCTCTATAAGTTGGTCTACCAAACTAATGAGTTATTTTGGTTCTCATTTTCTGTGCTTTTTTATTTGAGAATTTATGAAATCTGTATATATGAGTAGTATAAAAAGTATTAAGGTTCATCTGTCATTTTCCTCTTTCATCTCTGCTTTCTACAAACTTCCTTTTCTGTCACTACAGCTTGTTTGGTTGGATATTTGTTAAGACAAATTTTGTTATGTTATATATATAACTTTGTACCTATTTTCTGATGAATATTAATTTTTAAGTAAATTTTATTATAACTATACTTAAATGGATAATAAATCATTAATGTCATTTAGTATGTGGTACATATTACAAATTCTCCAACTCCCTCAAAGATATTTGCTTTTTTCTCAAACCACACAAATCACAGACGTTCCACACATCACTGCACTATTTTATTATACCAAAGTATATACTGTATTGTAGAAAATAGGCATTGTGTATATGTGTGGGGGATATGTTTTTACACATATGTATTCACTATTAAATCAGAAACATGGTCATGAATGTGGTAGGATTTTGCACATTTGGCATATCGATAGTTTCTCTGGCAAGCTTATGATTTCTCTAAATTACATGCTTGATTTAATTCATAGTCATTATTCTGGGAATATTACATATGCATTAGTGTTAAATTCTATCATTATGCTTATAAAAATATAATAAAAATAAGTATGGGATATAATAAAATAGAAACAAAAAAATCTATTCTTAAAAAGGTGAATTCTTTTAGTTGCTTTTGGATTTCAAATATATCTTTTTTCTGTGGGAAGTTTTGTTAGAAAATGTAAGTGGTACAATCAACAAGCATATGACATCAATTAATAAAACCAAGGAGTTTATAAATCATAAAATTTTGAGGAGTTTCACAACTATAATATGTAACTTTGTTTTATTTGTAATTACATTATTTTAAAAATATTATATGAAAAGAAAATGAGAGAATATATGTTTGAAGATCATATCAAACTAATAATGTATTTTGATTACCAGTCTGTTGCATAAAATTTATTTCATATCCTTTTTTTTGCTGTTATATATATATGTATATTTGATTTTTATTTA